AACTCTTCAGTTGCTCTTTGCATGGTTCTGTAAAGTCTGACGACCTTAAAACATGCATTTCTGCACCAGGTTCTACCTTGATTTTGTCTGTCTGTGGTTTAGAAGCTCTGCGGTCACCCTGATATTATTATGAGCAATAAACTTTACACAAATCGCATCTGATAAATGCTGTTTGACTACTAACTATCTCAGATGAATTTAAATTGGAACTACACTCTACCACAGTGCTTTAATTCGACTCGTCATACTCTAGGTCTACTAAGTAGTCTTCAATGACGAAAGCAATCCCTCTAAAGTTGCATGAGGAGAAAAAGACCTCCATATTCATGTCTGAGTTTCGGTTAAACGGGATTGAGGAGGACTGACATCAATGACGCACAGCACTCAACAAGTACAGTCTAGCTGATACCGCACCACAGGCTCTAACACATCCACAAGTGTTAAAATATAGTCTTCCACAAGGTGACGTAGTTAACCGATACCTCTTTCAGTGGAAGACATGGCCATAAAACCTATTGATCTCAGACGTCGAAGACTGCTCTCAGTTCAAGAAATGAAACTTGTATCAGGAACCAATAAGTACACCTGTGTTACAGAATCCGGGGAATATTTGACCGATGTACCAACCAGAGTCTGAAACATGCCTGGTTTTCTTGGGTTCGCTCTTTTCTAATCTTCCCTGAGGAGTTGGGTGTTGGTGTTGTGTCTGCAAAAAACATTGGACTGGTTGGTTTCAATTAGGACATGTGGTTTGACAGATATATCCGTAAACCTGTTTTTGAAACATTTACTATTCATTCGATGACAACTTACACAAAGCTGAAAGTTATTTTGCGATATCGTCTAATCTGGCTGCGAAGAAACAAAATAATCTGGAAGCCTTGATTGAGAATATTGTCTCTTTTAACTCACTAGGTTAGTGCCCTAACTGTTGAAGCTGTGGGAACTTGTTATAGTTTTCCTGTTGATTTTAACACGAATAGAAGTAGGCTAAACTATAGAATTTAAAACAAACAAAGTATATATCATAGATTACCACCAGGTGAGTGAGTTGTGCGGAGGTCTTTCATATCTGATTAAATCTTTTTGTTGTTCAATGAACCTTTGTTCACTAAAATATGCTTCTTGGCTCTTATAGGCGCATTACCTATTTATACATTGACTAAAAAAACTCTTCAGTGGTGGAAATGAAACTCAAGTCTTGCGAGTGCTTGAGTTTCATAGCATACTCAGTCTAACGCCGTGAAGGCGACCCGAAAGCCTTTATCTAAATACCCACTGTGATGCAGTTTATTAAGTTGTATTCGTCAGTCTTTCATGCAACATATTCAATTACCTTTTATAAAAGCACATACGACCGTATATAAAAACACTAATAAGCCACTCTGCAGTTATTTTTCAAAGTGCACAAGAATACCAGTCAGAAACAGTGTAATCCATGAACAAATGTGAGGATGTAAATTACCAGGAAATTGCTTCTAAATAGCTGTTCTCAAAAAAAATGTCCACAAATGGTACTAATGAATAATTTTTAGGACAAAATTTCCTCAACCTCAGTGATTTGGGAAAAACTTCCTTCTCAATCTACAAGACCATTCTTTCTTTCACCATTCAGAGTAAAACTGCTGCTAAATACTTGTTAAATTAATCAGCGCATAAGTGAACGAAATAGTACACTTCTGCAGAAGAGATTTTAAACACTAAGTGATGCTGTAACAATCTTATTCCGTAGTGCGGCGTGGTTGTCTCTCTTAATCAATTACAAGCAAATATAACTCAACTGTTTATCAGTCCTATTATCTTAGTCTTTTTTGAAGTCAGTTGTAGTAGATTTATGAAAATGGGACTGATAGTAATGTCCGAAGACAGTAATTAACTTTCCGAAAGTTGTTTCATGACAGCAACACCACTTTTTCGAGCTCGTATCTGACTCTATTTAATATATAACACTCCTGAACTATTATCGGTTTTCTCATTATCCCAAACATTGGTGATCCATAAACGTCAGACAGTGGGAAAACAAAGAGATAACGCGAAGTACAAACAAAGAAGTTATATTGGCAAAGAATCAACAAATTGAAAACCACAAGCTGAGATAGAATATTCTCTATCAGAACAATTAAACAAGCGTTAAATCACAATGTCAGTGTTAGATACTATTAATGAATACAGTATGAAATACCGGCAAAATTGAGTTTGAAAACATTTAAGGTTGTATTGATGTTGAATATTCTCTCAATTACCGCCGAAGATAGATAACTGGAGCTGAAGTAACAATAATTGTCACCTTCCTTGAAAAATGGACTTCACCTCTTCAAGTTATATCAACATTCTTAAATTTTTACCACAATCGCTGCATACAATTCATCTGACTTCAATCTTCTCTATTTTATGAGTAGAACTAAATTTCTCATTGCCAATTTGTTGTAACGCTAAATAAACTGTTAAACCTTATCTCAGGTAACTGATAGCTGGAAGCAGATAACTTCATCAGTATCACGTGATTCTAACTTTTGATATGCTTCACTGTAGATGAGTATGGCTAAAATTATCTAGGCTTTTCTTAAGCCTATGAGTTATTGACTGTGCTGAACAAAAGATATCTCATACATTAAAGGAAATAAGTTCATAAAATCCCAATGAAGCAGAAAACTAGATTTATGAGGCTTCGGAACCTCGTGGAAATCACTTCTTCAGCAGCAGTGGGATTTAACAAATGTCTTTCTGATAGAAAACATTATGCTTGCAATTCTTCCACTAGCAACTTTTCCCCTATAACATAGAATAGACAACGATTATACACACAACAAAGTGATTAAGATTAACCGTTGTCACCAATGCGTATCAGCAAATTCAAGAGAAGTGAGTTCCTTCTACAGATTCGACGAAATGAGGTCAGTACTCGTGATCAGATAACATGACATTGATTGCTTTCGAAGTGACAATCAACGTAGATTAAACTAGCTAAGTATGCAAGGCCAAATTACTTTTGTTGCACCGTTATATGAGTTATCATCAAGCCATTGTTACGCTAAACGGTTTCGTTATATATTCCGAACGAATATAATAAGCACGCTTAGCTGACAGCTAACTTAGTATGCAAGAGCCACTGACAGCAACCCCCAGACGAATAGAGAGAAGACCGAAGCTGGATGATGGGAGAGTTTATTCCTATGAGAAGATAATGATAATAAATCAATCCCAAAACAAGTGAATATGCACACACATTTATATGATGCTACATGCTACATGTGATTCACAATGGAATGCTCATTGACGCCTTTCAAGTGAAGACAGGAAGGAGTAAGACAAGGTTACCACCTACTATCATAGATCATCTTCCTGACTGTGGTCGACTTGACTGAACTGGATCATGCAACAGACAACTGTAAGGAGCGAGAAGAAGAGCATACGCTGTTTGACCGATGAAAAGACTACAGAAGATATGGATTTCGACAACGACGATGGTTCATGTCTAATGTCGCGAAAACTCGAAGGTCTACAGGCAAAAACCAACAAGTTGGCAGGAGAGGCGAGGCAAGGCTGCGAAGATAGGACTTCAGGTGAACGTAGAGAAGACAGAGGTGATGAAGATACCCAACCACCAACAACAACAACAAACACCAATCGCCACTGTCAACGGGAGAAATCTACATGAAGTTGTCTGTTTCACATACCTACCTAGGCAGCATCGTTTCAACTACAGGTGGCGCACAGATGAGGACGTCAAAGACAGCAAGACAGGCCTTCCCGCATTAATTTGAAATCAGTGTGGAGTTATACTGCACTGCACTCAGCATAAAGCGTGAACAACATCCGAATTTTCAGCTTCCATGTGATGGTTGAGAGACTTGGCGCGTTACGAAAAGCATTTCCAACAGACTGCAGACATACATCATCAACAGCTGCCGCCTACGCTCACTTGATACTGAAGGTCAGACCAGATGGCCAGAATAATAAGAATTAGCAATGAGGAACTCTGGCCTAGCAAGCAACCAACCAAGAACCTATCACCCAACAAATATGCAGGAGAAAGTGGAGATGGATTAGGCATCCACTAAGAAGACCATTCGTGGACATCACGCGTCAGGCCAGGCACTCGAGTGGAACACAAAGGGGAAAGAACAAGTTGGGCGCCTGAGGGTGACATGGAGGAGATTGTGTGGAGAAAAAATGAAGCTTGTAGGCAGTCGTGAAGCCAGCTAAAAAGACTACAGAGAAGTGAGTGAAATGGAGATGTGCTACTTAGTCCATGTGTTCCACTAGGAACCCAAGGGACTAATAATAATAATACCTCTTGTCATAGCTTCTTTCTAATGCATTGCTATAACCGCGTTTTGACCTCATTTTTAGAGCGTACAATGTTACTTTGACCAGTTTGCCTCATAGCTATCTGTATGTCAAATTATTTTTTTTCATTATTAGTACCGCAACTGGTCAAAGTATGACGTCTTCACTGTTCCTCCTAAAAAGTAACAAAACTATATTCATAGTTTTATTAAAAGTTGAATTTTTGCTTACTGAAGCCTGTAATCTCTTATAAAAAGAAGTTAAGTACTCATACAAGTGTTGGCTTTCATACAGTGATGAAATTTATCAGGTGAACATATTACCTTAAAGACAAAGGAATCTATTCTGGGTTTTTTTTGAAAGAAGGATCTGAGTTCTTTGTACTTTACAGTCCAACATGAAAACAGTTACTCAAAGACGATACTGGATGGAGGTTGCGCTACATCATGAACTGTCGAAAGTTGGAAGTATGGACCACTGGATTCCGACTCACTGGCTCAGTGGTGAAGTTCGGACCACGTAACCAGAAGATCCTGGGTTCGATTGCTTGTGGGGTGGGTGCGTGGGTGCGCACTGCTAGGGAGTCCCATATTAGTAGGAAACAGCTGTCCATTGCTCTCAGCTTATTAATGTTCCTCAGACTGATGTCAGTCCATGATGAATTTCAATCTAATTTCTTATTAATTTATCCATCTTAGTAGAATGGATCAATAAATTCAAAAAAAATAAAGGAAGATTAAATCGATTCTATAAACATACGTACAAGACGACTGACAATATTTTAGTATTCCTAATGAAGAAATGCATAATTAACCGACAATAAAATCTGAAGAGAAATGTTTAACACAAGAGATTCATTATTTAACAGTAATAGTAATCAAGCAATATATGATAAAACAAAGAATATTCAACTTGACAATAATGATGTATATTGTCTGAATATTACAGAACGACCATTACATACCCATAAACTATCAAGCCAGCAAAAAAAATCAAATAAAATGACGTTTAATAAGAAAGAAACGAAAAGAAATCTATCTTCAAAGGTTAAAAGAAGTTTAGAACGTAAAGTAACCTCAAGAGAGAAACTGAAAAAACCCAATGGAAACAGACAAGGAAAATATACATTTAAAATGAAAGCACAATATCTTGGTAAAACTAATACACCTAGTCAACAAGTAAAAATACAAAGAAAATCTTTTAAAACAAAGAAACAAATGAAAATGAAGAGAAGTTTGAAACCATTGAATAAAAATGAACACAGTAAAACAAAAGGAAGGTATTCCACCTATTCAAATCAGTTTAAAATATCACAAAATTCTGCTTTGAAACCATTATCTGAACTAATGAAGTCTACACAAAAGTCATCCTCCATAATACATCATAATCGAATTATGAGAAGAAAACTGATGAACACAGTGAAACCACACAATCCTTTATTATGTAAGGGTAGCCCTCCAGTTTCAAAGATATGGTCAGGTCGATTAAGACCAAGACCATTGAAATCTGCACGATTTAGTTGTTATCGTGAAGTATGCTTCAATCGAATACAACAGAATCCATATGAAGATTATGTAATTATTCAGACACCTATGAAACGAACTTCATTAATCAATAAATCGAAACAGATCAAGAAAAGTCAGAAGAACAAGAAGAAAAGGAGTAATATAAAAGATTTGAAAAATTGTAATGAGGTAAATACTATTGAAGATAATGTTGAAAATGATACATGGTATGATGCTATGGAAACGGATAATTTAAACAATGGAGGCCTTTTAAATCTTGATCTCTTACCAAATCAATTAATATCATTGAATAATTCATTACTGCCTTATGGTAACAATGATGATAATAATAGTCATAATTTCAACGACAATAAGCTTGAACCGATTAGACAATTTATGGATTTGTACTAAAGAAAATTTCTTATTTCATGAACGATAAAAACGTATTTTGTAAAGTATTAAGATGTATATGTGGTACATTCCACAGATGTATACATTATTGAACAAATAAATGAGGTACTCTTTTGAAATTTAAATGATTTACACTCCATTAGTGATTGGAAATAGTAACAGTGATTCTGGTACGATAGGTTATGAATATGTTTCGGTGGCAAGAGAAGGGGGGGGGGTAGGTAAATTCTTTTATAGTGGGTAATGATTGAAGGTGAAGTGAAAATTTGAACCAGCGACCGCCCTCTAATTCACTTAGATTTGGATTGGAATGAGAAGTCCTGACTAGGCAGCAGCCAGTGTGAATACGATCAAATGGTAGTAATGCGTCACAAAATCACATGGTAGTCGGATTAAATCCATGTTGACTGAAGTGAAATAAAGAAAATCCGATCAGTAGTCGGACTTTATATCTCAGTTGGTAGAGCATCAGACGGAAACTCAGTGGCCACTGGTTCGAATCCGGCTGTGGTCCAAATTTTCATCTCACCTTCAATCATCACTCAGTATAAATACTAAATTGTCAAACTAGGGCTATCTAAGATAGTCAAAATGATACCTTCTTTATCGATTAGTGCAATACACACATGTAGTTCGCAGGTCAAATCGTTTTGTTTTCCATGCGATTGATGGACACATGTGACCTTCGTGTCCCACGATGAAGTTTGGTGGACACTTTGCAAAATGTAGTGTTCAAGATGAATATTTGTACACATGAGAATAAATAGCTAGCTCAATACATGTTGGTTCTATTATTTAAAAGAATGTGCAACTATATGCAAAAAAGTGATACACGAGAATCCCATACCATCAGAATTTGTAATTGTGGTTTCTTAACTCCGGCTAGACCATTTGAACGAAATGTAGATATACTGAAGTAGTTACTTTGATAGATTTATTTATGTTTTTATATAGAAAACATAAGTGTACAACTTGGGCACCGTGGGAGAATGTTATAATAGTATATTTAGTAATATTATTTACTAAATGACACTTCGAGCAGAAATTGTTGCTCATAACCACGTTGAGGTAACCACAAGACTTTCTGTTCTTGGTTCTTGTACATTTCCATTATTTCTCATTCTTTCATTTAACTAACTGGACCTCGGTGAAATTCGAGCCAGCGACCACTGGGTTTCCTGCCAGATGTTCCACAGACTGACCCTACGAGGTCCGACTGCTGACCAGATTTTCATTTCACTTCAGCCATAAATGGTTTTCGCTGACTGGAGTGTGAATGCATGATGCGTTACTGCCGCTTGATCGTATTCACACTGGCTACCTAATCAGAACTTCTTATCCCAATCCAAATCTGACTTAACTAGAGAGGGGGAGTATCATATTGACTATCATTTTGACTGTCTGAGATATCGGACATGGTTTGGCAGACTAGTATTGATACTGGGTGTTGATTGATGACAATTTCGCCTTCAGTCATCACCCAGTATCAATACTAGTCTGCTAAACTACGGCTGATATCTCAGACAGTCAGAATGACAGTTAAATTTTTCACACAACTGCTCTTGGTGTTAGGTCATTCCAATTACAAGCGTTGGACGTTGAGTTAGAGAACAGAGATTCAATGATCTACACCTCTCTCCACTTCAGTAAGTTAGTCTTTATGACATTTAATGTGATCCACTCTATTTTGTGGTTATGTAGTGTCGTATGCATAGACATAACTCAATTCTTCTTTAGATTACTCATCTTAGTAAAGTCTATCATTCTAGACTTAGCTGAATTCTTACGTTCTGTTAACCTGACTAACCCCATATGATCAGTTTTGACCTATTTACTCGAACTCCCAGGCATTGCAAAGTACTTGGTAAGTTAAGTTATTCTGTTTAATTGGGTCAGTATAATCAATAAGCACATAAAGTTTTCTCTGAGGGAATTTTTAGTTTCGAATGCCACCCTAATATTCCAGCCTTGTTGAAAATTCTACATAAGGTTTCTTAAATTTCTATCCTTATATAATAAAACTACAGAGTTCTCCAAGTCCTTCTTACTCCTGTTATGATCATTTTTTGCATCACTACTTTTCCGGTTTATATACATTATTATTATTTTCCCTTTGGGTTCCTAGTGGAACATAGGACTTCAGTAGCTACCTACCTTTGCTGATTTAAAGTGAGATGAACTGAAGTCTAGATATCTGTTGGAATGTGGTGGTTTTCCGTAGATACTTGTATCTAAACAGTCAATGTGTCATCCACAGATCTCCACTATACTTTCTGTTTGAAAAGTTATCTAGTAAATAATACTATATCACTGTGTGCTATACCAGATAAATGAATCTAATATGAAAAAATAAGTTGGTTTCAAAACCAGCTACAACCAGTTATTTGGTTGGTGTCCTTGGTACTTTCCATCCCGCAAAATTATTTAAAGACTTTAGTCACTTCGAAAGTGTTTTTACCCGGCATTAACTGCCTTAGGATTAATGTCAAAAGAGTTAAAATTATTTAGAAGAGCAAATTTTAGTCATTAAGAAAATACAGTGCTAAACATGACCAAACGGAAACGAATATAAACAGTTTGAGTCTTGGCAGAATTTTGTATTCTAAACTGAAGTGACTCGAATAAACATATCTGCCAATTCAGCTGATTTACCTAACTTAGGTGGAGGAAGAAAGGCGTTCAGCCATTCCCCTCCCTGCTACTAATTTTAGAATTGGCACGCAGATGTTCTAAGACAACAGTCTGCATTTTTAGTTAGGAGATGCATTACAGTTGTCGGTCATCATTTTCAGAAACCAATGTTTGTCCGCGTCTTCACATAGAAGAGTATTTTAGCTGTGTGGCCAACTTTATTTAAGTAGTCTTTGACGCAAAGACTGATCCTACGTCCTGACATGAGTAACAGTAAAAGTGCATAGATTGTTAAAAAGTTGCTAGAAAACCTTTTTCTTTGAAATAAGTTTCATTACTTTTCAGTTGGTCGCTTTTATCGTGCAACAATTCCAAGCTAATATTTATTGTAGATAATGTTTATCCTAAACTGGGATCGGCTGAAGAAGAAAACTATCGAAATCATGAAACTAGTGGTTAGATGTTTTATTCTTGTCTAAGGTTCATCTGTGAAAACAGAACTAATTCCAATACCTGTAATAGAACTTCAGACACTCATATCATATGTTGTTGCTTGTATTATCGCAGCGTTAATTGGACCACCACATTAATTGGTCTCTATTGGCATTCAGGCTTCTGTGCTGATACCTCGATATTGCCTGTCGCTTCAGTTTGATATTATTTATGGATAGTGGCTAGAAGTAGAATTCAGGATGAATGTTTCGTCCCATTCAGGACTCGTCAGCTGGAGGTGCTTTCCTTTCAGTGAGTGAAGATGTTCCCACATATTTCATGTTAATTTGATTATCGGGATGAAATACAATGATTAAAATGCTACTGAATCCAGACTGACTGAATGACAAAATCAACATAGAACCAAGCACACAAGTGTATCAGCTTAAATTACTACACTTCATAGTAGTACACATACAGCAGGTGGATAGAATAAGATTGGTATCAAGGTAAAAAGAAATATGTAAGGAAGAATAAAAAATCTGAACATAAAAGTTATTGCGAATATTCATGCTTCAGATGTCAGGGAGCGAATACATTTACGACACTGCAACCGATTCTTGCTCACCACTGATTCTATAAGTTTCGGGGACCCCCACCAGGCAGTCTATATCGCCTCATACGACTCAGACCAACAGTAGGAGACTTCATCGACTGGTGCCATGACTTTGTCTGGCCACTCTGTACCCTCTTCCGACCTAATACAACTCTCCCTAACATACCTGGTCGAAGTAGGCGATCACTTAGCATGCATAGTACATGTACAAACCATCTCAGTCGACTAAGGTTCACAACCTCGTTGATCAGTTTGCCTGTTTAGCCTAGTACCCTTCCCCTGACATCAACAGTGCTCATATGGTGGTTCCACCAAATGCTAAAAATGCTATGAAGACAACTATGATCATAACCCTGTTGTCGCTTCATATCTTCTACTTTTAACAGTCATGTCCCACTGCCATAAAACAGGACAGAACGGATGGCAGCTCACTATACACGTCGTTTAATAAATAGTTAGATACCTCGCCACTCGGTGCCACAGGTAATGCAAGCTAACAAATGCCAAACGGTAATCATGTATCCCAGTTGAGATTTTGTCAGCGACCAACCCGTTTAGGGTGATGTAACTCCACAAATAAATGAAGTGGTCGACACATTTCACCACTTCACTCCCTATCATTAAACTGGGAGCACATGCAGCAGACCAGTCTTGGAGCATCGGCTCACTTTTGGCAGGTGAGAAACGCATCCCAGCCAGACACTCCGATTTCTGTTCAGCACGTTGTTCAGAAGATCCTGCATTTCGTCAGCGTCCTCACCTATTATGACAACATCGTCTGCATATTCCAGATCAACTAGATGACCTCCACGGAGGAGGTCAATCCCTGTTTAATCACACGTACCTAAGGTTACGTCAATTAATGCATGTATGACGAAGTTGAATAGGAACAGTGAGAGTGGGGATGCCTGGGTGACACCATTAGTTTTCTTCAATTCACAAGACAACTCTCTATAAGCCCTTACATGGCTACGCGAGTTGCAGTAGAGAGCTATGATTAGCGTTATATACTTTCTCAGTACTACCTTCATAGTCAAACACTGCCGCAACACCTTAGGGTTGATTGAGTCAAGTGCCGTGTCCAGGTCGAGAAATATGGCAAGTGTCGGCTGCTGAGAGGTATGTCTGTGTTCCAAAACCTGTTGAGGGGTAAAATATGATCGATGGAGTCTCATCTATGTCTGAAACTTGTCTGCTTTTCTCGAGCTCTAGTTAGAAGTCAGATGACCATGGAGTCTAGGATCTTGGCCATATTATTATTTGTCCCTTGGGTTTCTAATGGAACATAGGGCTTCAGTAGGCCATAATATTAGTCAAATTGATTCTCATAAGGTTGTCACAAGAAGACTTCTCTCCCTTCTTATAGACTGGGGTGACCAGTGAAGTACACCTGTCTAGTGACACTAACTCTGATTCCTATAGACTGCCTAGTACCTCCGT